CATCTGCACTCACCTGCCACATAGTCCCCAAAGCCGACCGTCGTCAGCGTCACCACCACGAAGTAGATGGACTCCAGCTCCGACCAGCCTTCGATCTGCTTGAAAATGACCGCGGGAATGGTCACAAACACCAGGCACCCGGCCACGATGAACAAGATGGTGGATATGACCCGGATCTTCGTCTGACTCACCTGCTTCTTCTATGAGAAAGAGAGAATAAAAAGGATAAGTTACCCGAACACGTACCGGAGGCGACCTTACCATCCATGTGAACCCGTCAGTCACTTTAGAGGCCTGCACATATATATTCCTGACATGTCACAATATACAGCAACAGTAATCATTTACCAGAAAAGTTTCACTTTTATCATTAAAAATCCATCTTTGATCTCCAGTCAGTGACTTTGCCTAGGCTGAGAAGATGGTCTGTAAAAAGACCGGTCACTGCTGCTCTCTCTCCTTGTGCAAGGTGACTGGTCTTGTCTCCGCCCCTTCCTGTAATAAAGACCGCTCACTGCTGATCTCTCTCCTTGTGCAGGGTGACTGGTCTTGTCTCCGCCCCTTCCTGTAATAAAGACCGCTCACTGCTGATCTCTCTCCTTGTGCGAGGTCACTGGTCTGGTCTCTGCCCCCTCCTGCTCTCTCTCCTTGTGCAGGGTGACTGGTCTTGTCTCCGCCCCCTCCTGTAATAAAGACCAATCACTGCTGCTCTCCTTGTGCAGGGTGACTGGTCTTTATTTTCCTACAAATGTTTTGCCCGGGGTTCAGCTTTAATTTTAGAGAACCTCCCTTATAAAGGAGCACCCCACTGCTTCTCTCCCCTTTAAACCATCTGCATAATACACAATCTCCTCCTCTGGAAATCTTTTCTGACCTTTCACCGATTTTTGAACATTTATTATTTTTGTCACCGGCATGAAATATGCAAATGAGCTTGTACGGCGACGCCGATTGTATCCAATGTGATATGAGGAAAGTTTCAGGATTTCTGACACTTTTTACCATTATAAATCTGAGGTGTTCGAGGAGATTTTAGGAAGCTCGAGAGAAAAAAAAAAGAAATGGCGTCTTTGTCATCTGACACCGAATAGCGTGAACCTTTTTAATCCCTAAAACGCAGCGTCAAAGCCTGAGATTGTGGTAACCGTTCCATCTTATCAGAGACATCTCAGTGTGACTAATCCTATTACTGTTACCATGGTGACCGCACAAGGGCTTTCCTGCGCTTTTGTATTCAAGCGGCGTCAAGATGGCTGCCAGACCACTCGTGATTGTGTGAAGGGGAATCCCAGCTGTATAGACTGACCTCTGCATCAAACCACTGTTACGCCTACAGATATACCATGTATCCGGGCAATGTACACAGATTGACTCTCGCGATGCTTTTCCCGAAGATGGTCCCCAGCTGATCGCCGATTCCAGCCAATAGGAAGCCAAAGAGAGGAATTCCGAATATGGCGTAGAGGATACAAAATATCTTCCCCCCTTCCGTGCTCGGTGCGATGTTCCCATAACCTGTCGTGAAGGACGGGAAGGAATTAGAAGATTAATTATACAAATACAGTTCATATAAAATCATAGAAAGTCCGAAGTTACGTCAACACATTATCATTCGCTTTGGGGAAGCGCTAAAATTTCTGTCAGGTTCCTATTTATGTCTGCGACCCCATTGGGCAGACTGTCCCCCGTGACACCAGGAGAGGAAATAGGAGGAACAGTTGTCACCAGAACAGAATGGGACAGAAATAGTATTTTGTGGTCAGAGTTACTTCGGTTTCCGAATCTTCATGACCCCTACTGATACCAACCTGATGTGTGCCATGATTTTGTGGGCACGCTCTAGTGAAATGATAGAACCTGGGGAAGGGCGGGAGGGTCAGACGCGACTTCGCCGTGACGTGACGAGGAGCTCCCTGTCCCCCTTCTTAAGGGGAGGAGAGCCGGCGCAACTCCTCCCACAAACACGGCCAAGATACCTTGGCCTATTACTTGTCAGAACATGTAACCCTAAGGCCTGGTTCACACCTGGGCGTTCCTACGCTCTGTAAAACGCTCAACATGTGAAAACCAATGATTGCCTATGGGCATGGTTCCCACCTGGGCGTTTTACAGCTCGCAGGAACGCGCTGCAAAACGCCCTACGCCCAAAGAAGTACAGGAGCTTCTTTGGGGCGTATTTGCCGTGCGTATCCATTGGGATACAGCCGGTTAGCCCTCGGAAACGCGCGTTTGTCATGCGGTTTTTACTGCAAATCGCGGTAAAAACGCGTGGCAAGAAACGCGCGACAAACGCGCATATTGGATACGCCTAGGTGTGAACCCAGCCTTCCTGTTCTTGTTTTTGTCCCCTTTGGAAAGATTTCCTTTAACTTCCTGTCAGCTCATTACACCTAGATTGTATTGGCATTATTGGGGTGCTTACTGCCCATGTACTCCTGACATAATGAACTTTTGGCTAGAGTATCAAATGGTTAAACTTCCTTTTTCTTGCTGTCTGTGTTCCGTCGGGGAGATTTCCGCTCACTTTCTGACCCAAAGGCACAACAGGAATTGAGATGAAATCTCCCCAAGGTAATGGGAAATCTCTTCTTAGACAAGGACAAGTGTCCCCACTGGAAGATTTCCCCTCTATTTCTGTTCAGGTGACAACGCTAGTATTTTGGGTTTCCAATCTTCTTCTGTCCCATGACCATATTCAGCAGGACCAATAAAGAGGGTGGATCTCCCCGTCAGGCACAAGGATGGCGATATAACCTGACAGAGGCTCTAATACTGCATTCTGTATCCCTGGTTTGTATTGGTACCACTATCACTGGCTGTAATTCACTGCTTACTAGGCTATCAGTTATGAACCTTCGTCGGCCCGCCTCCCTGATGTCACTGAAGGCCCATTGGTGGCTGAGGACATCTGCAAGCTGTGTAGGAGAAGACTGTCTGCATGCCTACAGTGGTATCCTGCTGTCTTAAAGGTACAGGGTTTGAGGACGATCTAAGTCTGTAGTGCATGCATTGGAACTGATTTAGGGTCTGATGTTTATGCATTGGGGCTGGTCTGAGGTCTGTATTGTATATTTTGGGTCTGGTCTGAGATCTGAAGTGCATGCATTGGGCTGATCTGAGGTCTGTAGTGTATGCATTGGGGCTGATCTGAGGTCTGTAGTGCATGCATTGGGTCTGATCTGATGTCTGTAGTGCATGCATTGGGCTGATCTGAGGTCTGAAGTGCATGCATTGGGCTGATCTGAGGTCTGTATTGTATATTTTGGGGCTGATCTAGGTCTGTAGTGCATGCATTGGGGTGGATATAGGTCGGGTCTGGTCTGAGGTCTGTAGTGCATGCATTGGGGCTGCACATGTTCTGTGTGTGTATTAGTTACTCAGTTGTACTTCTAATGACGAGTTAAACTTTTATTATTATTATTATATAACAATGAATAATGTTACTCTGCCATGAGCATTAAACAAAATAAAAGCAGCACTATTGTTCGCTGGGACGCCGGTTGTCCAATCCTTGTGAACATGACACTTAGAGGCTAATGTATAAATGTTCTGCCCAACATATACCAGGTGGGGGGAGGGGGGGGTGTTGTATGCACAGTATTCCTGACACTACTTGGAGCCGAGGAAATTGCATTATGCAGAGGAACGTTCATACATCATCCCATTAATGTGGAAAAGCTTGCTGACCCGGGCCCCTGCTCTAACCCCTCCCCATTCTATCCAGGACCATATACAGTCATGGGCAAAAATAGCAGGAATTGCGCGCAGCTCGCGGCTCTCTGCCGCCGTCTTCGAGATTTCTATAGACCTTAATAAATAGAACGGTGCGCGGGTAATGAACCTGGAGGGACTTCTTCCCAGCATTGCACTTTTAAACTTCCGCCCGCCGAGAACCTGTCACATAACGAGATCTCAGTGTTGTCCATCAGATGGAAATGATGTAGAAATCATTTTTTTTTCAATTATGATAATTTTTTCAATTATGAATGAACAGGAAGTGCTCTACATCACTTCCTGTTCATTCATGATTGTGGATATAGTAAACACACTCTGTCCTCATGTTATGAATGATCAGGAACACTCAGCATAGATGATTTCTGTTCATTTATAACAGGGGATACAGAAATAGAGATTGAGGAACCTTTTCTTTTTCTTTTTTAGACCCCCAATATTTCCCTGAAGACTCTAAAAGTAAAGTAAAAAAAAGTATTTAATAAAAATAAATAAATATAAATAAAATATTGTTAAAAGTTTATAAAAAAGAAATAAAAATAAAATATTTTAATTTTTTTTTTTTAAAGTTAGAAGAAAAAAAAAACATTTTCGGTTTCGGCCTGACATTTTGTTTTTTTCATTTCGGTTTCGTTTCGGTTTTGAAACGTTCATTTCGGTGCACCTCTAGTTCTAACCATTCCCAACGCCGTAAAAACAAGGATGTGTTTTAGATATACATTAAGCTGCTGCTCACATATATGTCATTAGAAAACCTATAGAAATTGTTGGAGGTTATGAATAGCGGTCAGTGAGGGGCAATGGTCAGGCGGCCTCTCACCTATGGTGGTGATGACGGTGCCGGCAAAGAAGAAGGAGCTGCCCAGGTCCCAGTGGCTGCTGATGTTGGAGTAGTTTCCGATCGGATTCACCCCGGCGTTGTCTGCGTCGATGGCTTTCTGTGGAGAGACAATTCGCAATGGTCAGATTGCACTCAACATAGGAGCTACCAATCAGAACAAGGAGCAGCTGCTGATTGGCTGGCTGTGGTGGTGCCCCTACATCTGAGATGGCTGGGCCTATGACAACGTAGGAGCACAGAGACTTCCTCACCATGCTTACTACATAGATGCATTACTGGAATCAGCAGCTCGGCCAGGATGGAGGGGTCAGACTGTCATTTTAGGTTCACAGGACAGGAGTCTCCAGATGTAAAAGTTGTCCAACATTAACCTACACCTTTCCTGAGGGTGAGGGCAATTCATTTTCTCGAGGGGCAACATGAGAACCTGGGACTGTGGTGGAGGACCGCGGTACCGCAATACAGTGCAGTTGAAAAAAGCAGTGCATGCAACGCAACACACCTGCCGCACTGTAATGCATGGTAGGCGCATTGCATGGTTCATCACACAGAACCATGCAATTGACACACGGCATAGGTGTGAATGAGCCCTGCATGAAGCCTTATTGTCCCCACATAGTATGGGGCTCTTACCTATTTTCCTGATAGGCCAGAGGCAGGAGCCGGGACGGGGAGCTGCAGGAGAGGACAGAGAAAGATACTTTTCCACCCTCCTTTAATGACGGGGACGGGAACACATTTGATGTCACTGGCAGGGGCAGACAAAGGGCCGGATATGGCCCCAGGACCGTAAAATGCCCAGGTGAGTCCTACCTGCGTCTTTAGCTATTCATCCTCCACCTCTTCCAAAACAGAAATATACAGGATGCTGTTGCTGGCTTCTTATTCCACAAATGCTATTTCTCTGGCTGCCATTATGATCCTCTGTGAACAACGGGGTCAGCAGGCCAGGTAACAAGCATTTTCAGAAGGAAGTCAGCAATGGCAATCTCTATTATGTCTTTCCTTTTAGCAGGTCTGAGCTTCCACCACAACATATGAATACATCACCCCTTAAAAAGTACACATGAGGCCCCTCCATATACATTGTGGTGCCTATCCAGCAGGGGGCCGGATGGAGCTGTCTGTGCCTGAACACCCAATCAGTGCCTCTGCCTGCACACAGATCCCGCCCTGCACTCTGGCACTGTCCCACACTCATTGGCCGACAAGGCAAAGATGTACTGCAGTGCTCGTGTGCCAACAAAAGCCGTGCTGGTAGGAGACAGAGATGCAGACACAGGTACACATGTAAGCCAGCCAAAATGTGTTTTGTTTCATTTTTTGGGATTCGGCTCTGAAAGTCATTTTGTTTCAGCATTCGGGTTCGGATGAATCTGAATGTTTCGTTAATTTCGGAGGAGTAAAATGATCATTACAAACGGAAATTTGTTGCAGAAAAGTGACATTTAATGTCTATTTTCTTTCCTTTTAACTTTTGACATTCCACAGAAACAATAATAAAAAAAAAAACAGTGTTTCCCCGACAATTCATACCAGACCCTTTAGGTCTGGTAGGAATTTTAGGGGACCCCAATGCCAAAAAAAGCCAAACCCCCCCCCCCAAAAAAAAAACATGGGGTCCCCCCTTCAATTCCTTACTAGACCCTTAATCCGGGCAGCAACCTGGCAGGGCAGGAAAGCTTGTAAGGGGTAACAACTACCCCCTTACTCATTCACAAGGGGGGGGGCAGCATTTGGGTGCCCCCTTTATGAAAGGGAGTACCTAGATGCAGATCAGCCCTGCTGCCTGCAGACCCCCACATCCACCAGGCCAGCGTGGTGGGGAATAGACCCCTGTCCCCTATCCCAATGTTGAGGGCATGCGGCCTGGAATGGCTCAGGGAGGGAGGTGCTTGTAACCCCCCTTTCCTGCCTTGCCAGGGTGCTGCCTGGAATGAGGGTCTGGTAAGAAATTTTAGGGGGGACACCCCATAAAGGGTCTGGTATGAATTGCCAGAGGGACCGTACACTGTTTTTTTTTTAACATGGGGGCCCCCCTAATATTCCTGGTATGAATTGGGGGGGGACCGCACGCTGGTTTTTGTATTATTATTATTTCTGAGGACTGTTTTAACACTTTTGTGTATTTGTGACAACTGTCAGATCCTTTGTTTACATCCCATATGCGAGTCCTGAATGGCAGCAAAGAAGCGGAAGTTGTTACAGAATAACGCACAGCTCTCAGCTTCTTTCTTTATTTACATTATGTGACAACATTGTGATATTTTGTTGACATTTGGGACAGGAGCAAACGCTCCTTTGTTTCGTTCACAATGACATTCCGGAAACATTTTGGGATTGCATCCGAATTTCGTTATCAAACATTTGATATGTTCGGATTCGTTATTTCTGACATTTGGAGACTCGGATGCATCCGAATGCCCCAATTTACAGAAATTCATACGAATGTCAATTCGGAAGGAAACGAATCTGACATGTCTGGTCACAGGCTGGGGGAGGGACAAGAACTGTAAATATTATTGAACTGCAGCAGAAAATAATTAAGTCACCAGCAACTTACTGAGGCCGGAAGTCGTACATCATACGAGAATTTTGCACTCTCTATCCCAAATCCGACAAATCCAAAGTTCCATCAGACTGTGACGGCTTCCTCCTAAAAATGTCACTTTGTTCCATCAGAGCCCACGCTGAGATCTTTCTAAATATATTTCATCTGCTTCTCTATTATTGTCTCCTCAGAGCGTTGTCACTGACATTCCACACACATGACAGCCGCTATAACGTGGTGCAAATCCCTCCTAAAAATAATGCGGCTTCACTCTCAGCATCTCGAATATGTAGATAAAACCCCAATAGCTAAAATCTCATCTCGGCTTCAAAATGTCGCCGTCATTTCACAAGTCACCGTCAATCTTTTCCAAATCTGCATCTTTCATAAAAACAATCCCTGGTGATCCTGCCATTCAGGAACTTCCTGTTACAGGGTGACAAGGGTCTGTTCCTGTCTCCAGTTTTTGCTCCTGTGTTGTCACCCGGGCTTTTGATTGAGAATACAATTGTCTGTTTGTGGAAAACAGGGCGGTAGGGGGTTTAACCCCCAACCCCACTCAATCCCCCCAAAAAAGTGTGGGGTTTAGATACACTTTAGCACCCATCCATCATCAAGATGATCCCCCTTTAAAGTGGAACGCCAGCCAAACCTGAGGATCCATTTTAAGAGATGATTCTTGTAAATAAGCAGCCAGGTATTTGCAGTCACTTGTTTTGTACAGATCGTCTTTTGCAGATGATTCCCTGAGCACATTGCGCCCTACTTCTATAATAGCAGCCCCCCCCCCCCTGGTTCCCTTCAATGGCGCCCTGCGGGGAGACCGCACAGGAGCCGCTCTCAGTCCTCATTAGTCCCAACAGTCGTCGCCTCACCTTCCGCCAATTACCATCAATGTTCTGTAATGCTCACGCACAATGAGCCATTCCGATGACCTTTCAGGAACAACTTCAGCTAATTATATATAAAGGCTGCCCAGTGCACTCATGTATCGCTGAGCTCGCTTGTCAATTTAAAATAAGGACATCACATCGGCCTTTAAGGTCCCCACACACCTTGCGATAATCGTACGGTAATGGTGGGAAATCCCGCGATCGTACGATTATCGCAAGGTGTGTGGAAGCCGTGCGACCTCTACTACTGTAAGGTTGCACGACTTTAAACTTACGAACATGTTCGAAAACCCGCCGAGCATGGTACGATGTTCGGCAGGTGTGTAGCATGTTCGTAAGATAAAAGCCGGACGGGCCGGTGTGCGCAAGCGCACAAGGCCCGTTCGGCATTGCGGTCATGGGAAGCCCGCCCCTCAGGGGGCGTGGCTTGCGATCATCGCAAGTACGATCTGCCTATATGCAAGATAGGCAGATCGTACGTTTTTTTAAATACCTTACAACCATCGCAAGACAAAAGTCTTGCGATGGTTGTAAGGTGTGTGCCCAGCCTTATAGACACACACCTGTTGATTTGTGAAATCAGGCTTGCAGTGACAGAGGCCTCTGTGTAGGGTGATAGGAGTTCTAATGGGGATTCCCGAAATACAGAGATTACTTTACAGGTGAAACTGGAATAATTAGAATATCGTGCAAAGTTCATTTATTTCACTAATGCAACTTATGCGGTGAAACTAATATATGAGAGAGACTCATTACATGCAAAGCAAGATAGTTCAAGCCGTGATTTGTCATAATTGTGATGATTATGGCTTACAGCTCATGAAAACCCCAAGAACCCCAAATCCACAACCTCAAAAAAGTAGATTATTACATGCAATCAATAAAACAAGGATTGTACATAGAACAATATCGGACCTCTGAAAAGTACAAGCATGCATATGTACTCAGTACTTGGTTTGGGCCCCTTTTGCAGCACTTACTGCAATTACTTTTGCACAATATTCTAATTATTCGAGTTTCACCTGTACATACCTGGCATACAGAACAATCCCTGCGTATGTGTTCCCTCTGTGTATGTATCAGTTTGGATAGAGGCGGCTTCTACAATCAAACTTTCTTCTGTACTTTGCTGAAATGTAACAGTTTTACCCACAAACGGCTCCTCTGATTGCGGAGGAGAATCTGCTGGATTCCCAATTCAACATGAAATGATTCAGGGCTGACAACGTCGTCTACAGGTGCTGCTCTAGGCAATAGGGAACTGAGATGGAAATAGATTGGACACTTCCTTTAAGGCAATGTATGGGAAGGACGGATATAAACCCTGCCCCTCATCCCCCAACACAGCGCCGGTGTTCTATCGAAAGTTCCAACTTATCGAGTTGCCCCACTCAATATGGCCGCCGCTTGGGTGGGGCACGTGAGATTAATAACGTGCTGGATTACTGTGATCCTAGTTCATTGTAATACTTCATTGCTGTGGTGCATGTGTACAGGGCAATGCCGCGGCTGGCACTCGTGCAGAAGAGCTTTCTTGCCCAAACCTTGTAGTTCTAACTAAACCGGAAGTCAGGCAGTTGGAGAACTCAATAAGTTGGAACTTTCGATAGAACACCGGCAACATAATGTACACAATGTCACCATGATCACACA